AACGTTGTTGAATTTTCCAGCGATCGAAGTATGGAATATAGAAAGAAATTACCGCGTTCCTCGGCGCCTAAAGCCGGCCTTCTTTTTTTCTTTTTTTATCATTTCGCCTAACGACACCGTCACTGACCGTCTAATTCCATCGAGCGGGCCACATTCGACGACGACGACGACGACGATCGATTCGCAGGCGTCCGGAGCGTGCCGAAACGTCGAACGGTATATACTGTTGGATCGATCCAAAGCGAACGGAATCGCTAATAGAATGGTCGCAGCAGCAGAGCATAGCTTCCCTCTAATCCTTCACCCTTTCGCCCCTGCTTCGATCAACTCACACCCTTTCTCTTTCGAATCAGCAGAAACGTCGCTTCGGAGGGGCGGCCTGCCTCTTTACGAGATAATGCACGAATTCCTCTTGGACTCGGAACGCTCGCGTATCTGCTGCAGATGCTGCAACTGCGCCGGCGATGGCACGTGAGCGCTGCTGCTGCGGGAATTCGAATGCTGTGGCGGTGGCAACGATTTTCGACGCTGTCGCAATGCCGGGCTGAGATTGCACTTGAGCTTTGCTTGAATTAGAAGTTCCTTGAACACCTGGGAAACGTTTAAGTTCTCTTTCGCCGAGACCTCGACGAAACCGTTCTTCCATTTGATCGTCACCAGTTCTCTCGTGCTCTCCGTGTCCACCTGAAATGTATCGGGGGTTGTGAGCGAAGGCTGAGTTTTGGGACGAGTGAGAATGCACGAGAGGTAGAATTGTGTAGGAATATGTGTGTAGGGGGATATGAATGGTAGGAGCGAAGTAAGAACGAAACCTTTGTAGATTAGAGTGAAAACCGTGTTCCTATTGAACAGCGTGTGTTTGAACTTGGTTTTTATTACCCGAGATAGCCTAGAGGATATTCGACGAAAGATAGAGCGAAGGAGAGATTGTGAAAGATTCAGAAGGGGGGGGTTAAACAGATCGTATGAATTGGAAAGAATAAGTCTTCCCTCCGGTTCCATCACGATGAAAATTTACCTCTTGCTCCGAGTCCAACACGTCGACTTTATTGCCGACGACGACGATTGGCACCGCTCCCTTTGTGTTGACGATCTGTGCCCTGAGGGTCTTCACCTCGAGGAACGTGTTAGCGTCGTGGACGTCGTACACCAGGATGAACGCGTCCGCAGATTTGAAGTAGAGGTCTCTCATTGCTGGGAATTCGTAGGAGCCTGAGGTGTCGAGGATGTCTAAGGTTAAATGCTTGCCGGATAGGTTGAAGTCCCCGTGGTGCATCTCCTCCACCGTTCGCTTGTACTTGGGGGTGAATGTGTTGTAGAGAAACTGGTTGATTATCGCTGATTTGCCTACTTTCGCCGCGCCCATTACCACGATCATGTGTTGCATCGAACCTTCACCTGGTTTTCCACCGCCGCTGTCCGACTCGGACAGTCTTCCATTTCTGAAATTTATGTCGCATAGAGAAGTAAGTAGTTGAGTAGAGGCGTGCATAAAATCCAGTGAAAGTGTAGAATTATGCGAGTTTCGGAGAATTACGGAGAGGCGTGTTAGAGGAGAGAAAATGAGAGATAGTAGGATACTTTGAGATATCTCGAGTGGTATAATTTTGGTTAATCGTTAGTTGGAACAAGTCACCAGGGTGTAAATAAGGGAGGAAAGTATGTGGTATTTAAGTGGACAGCACAGGTCTCTGCGAAGAGAATAGCGGTAATCAACGGTAAAGATCCCTTTCATCGGCTCCACGGCTTATTGAATATGCGTTTTGTATAATGGCTGCCCTCAATTGGAGCCACTATTACCTCCCCTAGAATATTCTAGCCCGTGTGTATGTGTTCGTAGTGTAGTGTAGAGCGTGACGGTGCTTTTGCATGCACCAGATAACAACTGTTCCTAAGTATCTTCGTCTTCGTAATCATCCACGCTTATTACGCGAAGGAGTCAGACGCGGTTATTACCGAAGCGCACAAAGGCGGAGAGCGAGGGCTTCCCTTTTTGCGAGGACTTGCCGCAAAATTAAAGCCCGCCCTGGCCTAAGAGCGAGTCAAGAGGCGGCCAAGGGGTTGAAGAGTAGGGAAACGAGGAAAGAAGAAAGGGGAAGGAGAAAGTGGTTGAAGCTCGGTACGGGTGTACCACGAAACGACGAAAGACGCACTTTCGCCTGAGAAGAAGTTTTATTCTTCCACTGTACTCGACATTTTTCTTGCCTACTAAATTAGCCAAAGTAATAACACAGGAAAATAGGTTGGAATTGGATTTACACCCACTC